AATCAATTGTGAAAATATTTATGATGTGCTTCTTTTTTTAATTTAGAATATTATTAAAAAAAGATCCTTCATTTTATGAAAAGACCCTCTTGATTCGATAGAAAACTCTGGTTTTTAAGAAAATGGCTGCTTATCAATTAATCATTAGGCAATCTATAAGATAAATCAACTTCAGACAACTTCACACTAATCGAGATCTTACATCCCTGAGGAATTAAATGAAATTATATCTACTTATATTTATGTAACTAAGTGTTTTAATAATTTGGCCGATTAATCGAAAAAATAATCGACAGATTAATCGATTATTAAAATAATTATTAGTTGCAGCCCTAGATGAGATTCATCCAATCAAACTTTGAACAACTGGAATAAAAATAAGACAAGTTACGCAATCCTGGATAGCAAAAAAGAAGATTTCAATATCTGGATAATTGTGATTCAGATGACCGGTACACATTTGAAACAACTGGCTCCAGGAGTTTAAATAGCTTCCTTCCAAACACAGACATTAGCTGCCCAGATGAGGACTAGCAGACTGCCAGACTCTTATACTCCTGCCACAGTATTTCAATGATTGACTGTAGTTTTATGAGTGTTGTTCTGTTTTGCATGTTTGTTTTTATGATTTTATACTGCTGGCTCTGCAACAAATTGCTCTTAAAGGGTAATAAAGATCCTTGCAATTAACAGATGTTACCCTCACTACTTCCTTTATCCTTATCTGTAACAAGCGCGTTCAGCACGCCCTGTTTGCTTTAAGCCTGTATCTCACTGGGCTGCTACAGTCAGAGACTAGTTGGTGACTCAAACCTGCGGGAAAATTGTGCAGTTTTTAGTGGAACTGGGCAATGATTCAAAAACAATATATCGAGATAGACACATGGACACATCATATGAATGGAAAACAAGAATAACAGCAACAACATCAGTGGAAAACTTGTTCAGCAGAATGTTGATATTTTCTCTGAACTCTGATCCAGAGCCGCATGGCATTCTGGGGGATGTAGGCAGAGGAAAGGCTTTAACTGCTCGACCTCTCACAGCCCAGCAAAGTAATGCTGATGACATCAACTAACTCTTTCACTCTTTTGTGAACTAACAACAACCTGTTGAGTAACCTGCGTAGTAATTTCATGTTTCGCTTCAAAATAAAAAGAACGATGTGGAGTGAAAGGAGAAAACGAGTGCAACAGCTCGAGAGGAAAGTGTGGATAAAAGAGGAAAGGTCACGTCACCAGTTTGGCAGGATTAATCAGCCTTTTTTCTCCTGATCCTTATATCAAATAGATAAAACAAAAAAACTAATCAATAATTATCAAAATCGCCCAGCCCTAGTTTTCAGTGAGTCTCTAAATGCTGAGTGTTTGCACCAGCGAGCCATGCAGCTTTATTCCGCATTTCCAGCTTTTGAAAAGGTCTATTTGCTTTTGTGTGCACAACTTCTTGACAAACTCTTATTTTTTCATTGCACTCATCCTACCTACCTTACACATCTTTGCAGCGGCACCTACTTTTATGATTTAATCTGCTGGGTTACACTTTTGAATAGAAGACAAGTTAGTTTCAGCCACTTCTTTAAATTATTCTTTTTTCTCAGCATGGTTATACCTGTGGATGAGATTTCAACACAGAAGAAATTTTAAAATGGTATTATTTAAATCCTTTTTTTTTTTTTTTTCAAATACGACCCAAATTGGATACATATCTGAAGTTTTTTTTAAAACGACCTCAGTCTGAACGCTCGTGTCACATTTGATCTGATTTACACATCAGTAAGGTGGTGATATACAGATTGATCCAAGTATTTAGAATATTGATACCAACCTTGTGTAGTTTAAATCTTATAGCTCCCCACGTCTTCAGCTACAGAACAGGTCCAGTTGTTTCATCTTTGTTCTTATAATTTGTCCCGGATGACTGAAAATCCACAGAAATGTATGATGGCAGCATCTGTCTTGGACCATATCGATCGATACTTACCTTCAGCTTGTCGCTCCCGTTTCATAAATACACGCTGCACCGGAGCAGCCGACCAGAGGAAGGTGTAAATAAAAGCAGTTAACCAAACAAGAATGTCAGATAATCAATCAGCTCTGATCACACAGAATTAAGATGTGTGTTAAGACGTACAGTGTGAAAGTAGCCTGAAAACACAAGCAGGGTAGGTTCTGTTTTCACATTTTGATACACATTTAAGTTTCAGTTGCAAACAATTGCATCAAGTTTCAAGTTATAACACGTTTCCATACACTAACAATAAAAAATATATAATTCTAACACTTCAGAATGACATAAACTAAACGAAGAAGGGCTTGAGTTGCCTGCGGTAACTCTGCAGCAAATTTGAGAAGAAAGAAAATTTGTTTTGCAAATTTTTCGAATACAGTCTGCTTTGACCGTTCCTGTACAGGTGGCCAACGTATGTTCAGTCCAATGTCCAACTTGTAGCTGAGTTTTCATTATCACCATCACTGTTGTTGTTGCAGTAAAAGAGACATTTTGGAGAGACTGAAAGCCCCCATAGTTTTCCTAGCACATTATGGCACACTGATTTTTGTTTTGTTTTTCAATCCAGTTCGGTTAAATTTATTTCTGCTTCCTCATTCTGTAAGTGAAACGAGGGTGTGTTCTTTAACGCTTATCGAATTCTACACAGTCTTATATTCCTCAACCTCAGTTAAACAAATTATTAGACAATTGTTTTATTTTCAAAGATCTCCATTGTTTTGTTTTATTTTTTAACACGAAAATTGATTTATGTTTAAAAGAAAAAGAAGAGGGGAAAAAAAGGAACTAGCTGATTTGGATTTCTGCCATAATCGATCTCTGATCTTTCTGGGCCTGTTGCTCTGTGCAGGATGTTATCCGAAAAACTGTGGAGGACAAAATGAAAATGGAAGAAGAACGGAAGAGGGTGGAGGAGAAGAAGTCAAAACTATCCGGACAAAAATCTGCTCTGGACAGATTCAGAAAGTAGATGAGGAGTCTTTGTGTTGCTCAGAACGCAGTGACATTCTGTGGGATGGACCTTTGACCTTCATATAAAAGACACACTTTATCTGAACGTGGTAATGTGCTGTAGCAGCAGACATTCTGGGTGTAGTGGGAACAGCAGTCCTACATTCTGGGTGTAGTGGGAACAGCAGTCCTGGATTCAGACGGGAAACAGTTCATTAAATCAATATTTAATGCAGCAGTTGGTCTATTGTAGGGCACGACTGCCGCCTGAAGCACATCCTCTACATGTTAACATGATGAGCTGGAGGGATATCATCCAAAGTTTGTGTTAAATATGTTTTTTGTACAAATAAACAGAATTTCTGGAAGTATTTGAATATTTCTTTAACATTTTATTTCTTGTCTTGGTGTTACTTTAATCATTTAGCATAGAAGTGCTCAATGATACAGTAGTACTCATATCAGTTTATGAAACGTCCTGTATGAGCTTTTGCTGCCTGAGCATATGTCCATCTTTCGCCAAGTGAATGGGCTAACAGCAACAACCAAAACTACATGGTTAACCACACTAGCTGCTAGATTAATCATAAAAAATAAAATGACTTCACTTCAAAAGTATTTACACTTCATGTGTTACATTACTGCATTTGCCCTGCAGCCCTCAGAATGGAATTTTATTTTGGTCGTCGGGGAAGAAGTTTGTGCACTCGATGCAGTAAGATGAAGTAATAACTCAACAACAAAGTTGAGAAGTACAGATTCTGGTTTGGTTCTAAAAAAAAATCAAACCCTGAGCATTTCCTGGAGCTTCACGAAATCCATTAATGGGAAATGAAAGTCTTGTGCAACCACAGCAAGACTGCCAATAGAGGGCTGTCCACCAAATTTCAAGTGGGACAAAATTCAGAGAAACATTCATAAAACCAAAGATAACCCTGACAGAGCTGGGAGGACCACTGCAGGCTGCAGAGATGAGCTTCATGAAAAGATTAGGAAACAAAACAAAACACTACTGTTATTTTTCAACCGGATGTGGAAGAATGTGCTGTGGCTAAAACCGAACGTTTAGGCCATCAAGGACAAAACAAGGTATGTCCGATAATATCGGCCTACAGATGTTATCTGTCTGATGGCATAAAAATGTAAAATCTCTAAATATCTGTATCAGTTTTTCTTCTGATAACAAAACACTGATAAATTAATCCCTGAATTGGACCAAAATGTGTTAATAAATGCTTGTGGTCCAGAGACATTCACCGGTGCGCAATTGATGACATCATCAACTGGATTATCTCAGGGAGAGCATGATTCAAACTATTGTTTGAGACAAAATGTTAAAAAATAAATATGGCTCCTTTTCCATGACTTCAGCGAAATGGTTTTTATTTTGTACAGACATTGTTGCATCTAGTGGGTATCACAGTAAAAGCAGGCAGAATGTCCCTGACAGGAGACATGATGTCAGCTTAATATCCGATTGTAATATCAGTTAATATCGGAATCGGAACTTAAGTGTTTAACAATATCGGCAAAAAATCAATATCGAGCATCTCTAGACAAAACCATGTCAGTCTATTACCTCATCATTTGAGAACTCCATCCCTTCAGTGAAAACATGGTTGTGGCAGCCTCAGGCTGTGAAGACGTTCTTCGTCAGACGGCACTAGAAAAATTGTCTCAGTTAAAGGAAAGACAGGTGGTTAAAAAAAATGCAGAAATTCTTCAGGTAAACTTGAGTCTTCCAGAGACTGGAGATGGAGATGAAGGTTTTGGACAATGACCTTTAAGCACTACTGAAGCAACACTCAGTTAAAGCCGAGACCTCATTCCAGCTAAAGACCTGTGGTTTGATTTAAAGATAACTGTTTACAAGCAGCACCTGCGCAAACTAGGAGATGGAGCAGTTTGGTGCAGAATGGGCCAAATATTACAGTGGTTACATGGACCGAGCTCTTAGATGAACCTGAAGAGAACTGATGCTGGAACGGCTGCAAAAGGCGTTTGTAGCCTACTAAGTTTTGAGCTTTAAAAAGTGAATATATGTTTTTTGTGTCAATGCTGATTGATACTACTGTTATCCTGTTTTAATTTTTATATAGGTTTTTTTGCAGTCTGACTTCTACATACTTTGAGCTATTTTAGCCATGATCAAAATGTTTATAGGTCATCCAGGAGACGGGTTCTATGGCTATAACTTTATTCACTAAATATTTACCCCATAGAAATCTGATCTTTCGTGTTCCTTCAAAAACCTTCAATATTCTTACTTGGTCCTTTTTAGCATTTAGCTAATTTTCTACTTCTTTGTAAATGTAATTTATTTGTCATCAGTGCTTGTTCCCATACAATGATGAAGTTTGACTCATCACGTGAGAAACACCTGGGGAGCAGCTGGGGGTTAGTTGTTTTGCTCAAGAACATTACAATGTGGAAAATGTTGTTTCTGTGGTTTTGAATTCAAATCAGATTTTTACTCATTTAACTTAATTGATTTAAAGTATTTTTGTATTAATAATACTTTAAATCTAAAAAATAATAATAATGAATTCCATTTTATATTATATGGCAACAAATTACAAAAGTCACCAGTGGGGTGTGGATGAATTTTGCAAACTACTAACTGCCATAAAAACAGCTACAGTGGTTTGCAAAAGTATTCATACCCCTTGAACTTTTCCATATTTTGTCACATTACAACCACAAACATAAATATATTTCACTGGAATTTAATGTGAAAGACCAACACAAAGTTGTATACAATTGTGAAGTGGAAGCAAAATTTTACATGAATCAAAACATTTTTTACAAATAAAAAACTGAAAAGTGCGATGTGCAAAATTATTCAGCCCCCCTGAGTCAATACTTTGTGGAGCCACCTTTTGCTGCAATTACAGCTGCAAGTCTTTTAGGGTATGTCTCCACCAGCTTTGCACATCTAGTGACTGCAATTCTTGCCCATTCCTCCTTGCAAAACAGCTCAAGCTCAGTCAGATTGGATGGAGAGCGTTTGTGAACAGCAGTTTTGAGATCTTGCCACAAATTCTCAATTGGGTTTAGGTCTGGACTTTGACTGGGCCATTCTAACACATGAATATTCTTTTTTTTAAACCACTCCATTGTAGCTTTGGCTTTATGTTTAGGGTCGTTGTCCTGCTGGAAGGTGAACCTCCGCCCCAGTCTCAAATCTTTTGCTGACTCCAACAGGTTTTCTTCCAAGATTGCCCTGTATTTGGCTCCATGCATCTTCCCATCAACTTTGACCAACTTCCCGGTCCCTGCTGAAGAGAAGCACCCCCAGAGCATGATGCTGCCACCACCATATTTGACAGTGGGGATGGTGTTTTCAGAGTGATGTGCAGTGTTCTTTCTCCGCCACACATAGCGTTTTGCATTGTGGCCAAAAAGTTCAATTTTGGTCTCGTCTGACCAAAGCACCTTCTTCCACATGTTTGCTGTGTCCTCAACATGGCTTCTGGCAAACTGCAAACGGGACTTCTTATGGTTTTCTTTTAACAATGGCTTTCTCCTTGCCACTCTTCCATAAAGACCACATTTGTGTAGTGCACGACTAATTGTTGTCCTGTGGACAGTTTCCCCCACCTGAGCTGTGGCTCTCTGCATTTCATCCAGAGTCACCATGGGCCTCTTGGCTGCCTCTCTGATCAGTGATCTCCTTGTTCGGCCTGTAAGTTTAGGTGGACGGCCTTGTCTTGGCAGGTTTACTGTGGTGCCATACTCTTTCCATTTCCGGATGATGGATTGAACAGTGCTCCGTGAGATGTTCAAAGCTTGGGAAATCTTTTTATAACCTAAGCCTGCTTTAAACTTCTCCAAAACCATATTCCTAACCTGTCTGGTGTGTTCTTTGGACTTCATGATGCTGTTTGCTCCCCAATATTCTCTTAACCAACATCTGAGGCCATCACGAAGCAGCTGTATTTGTACTGAGATTAGATTACACACAGGTGGACCCTTTTGAGTCATTAGCAGTCATCAGGCAACTTCTGAATGCAATTGGTTGCACTCAGGGAAAAGGGGGCTGAATACTTTTGCACATCGCACTTTTCAGTTTTTTATTTGTAAAAAATGTTTTGATTCATGTAAAATTTTGCTTCCACTTCACAATTGTATACCACTTTGTGTTGGTCTTTCACATTAAATTCCAGTGAAATATATTTATGTTTGTGGTTGTAATGTGACAAAATATGGAAAAGTTCAAGGGGTATGAATACTTTTGCAAACCACTGTAAAGCAGGAAGTCTGTGAAGCAAGGTGTGTTGCAACAAAAATGGATACGTGCAAAAAACAAAAACGTGCAGCCGTTTGAATGATTACAAGGGAATGCAGTGTATCCTGACAGTTATGTCATGATCTACAAAAACTTTTAAAACAACAACAACTTATGACAGGTTTGCAAGAGGAAAATCTGCTTTTTGCCGATAGATCACACAAGCAAGCTAGAGTGCTGCTACAAAAGTGTTTCCTAGAAAGATGAGAGCAAAAACAGTCATTTGTTAAATGAGAAGTTTTGCAGGAATGAAAAGGATTCTATAGGAGAAACTGGTCTGCGGTTCACTGGTATCAGTGCGACCTGTTCTGCAGCATAGTGTTCAAAATGAGCTGGTAGCGCAGCTGAAACCTCTTTCATTCTAAAAGCGATCATTAAAAGAAGGAACAAGCTGTTGTGTAACAAGACAACCGGTAATACTTGATTTGAAACTGTAAAGTCAAAGTGCTGAAATAAATTCCAACTGCAGTTATGAGAAAGAAAGTGAAGTTACAGGTTTGTGTGAGACCCCCAAGCCTCTCAGATGTGTTAAGTTCACTAAGTTCACTGTTAAGTTGCTAAAATCTAGTGTGGTAGTAGCTGAGACTGATCCCCAGCACATCTTCTGAGCACTAACGGACAACATCTTTGGTTAAAATGTTGGCATTCAGTGCCTGTGTCTGTTAGCAAAATATCCAGAGGTGTCAAGAATATACGTAAACACACACCCTAAACACTCTGACCTCCTATTGGTTACGGTCCATCACACTCCAGCAGGATGTTTCAGACTTGCAGCTAACTCGGAGCAAATGACAGTGTTGTACAGTCGAGAACGAGCAAAGACTCTAGGAGGCAGGTTTAAGGTGCATTTACAAATATGTTAATTTACAAGGTGGGTGATTTCTGGTCCAGATCTGTAGGAGGATGAGTATGGGTTGCAGGTTGAAGGATTCTTGGGTAAGAAAGGTGAGAGTTATTTCTTAGTTTGAAGGTGATCGGATCATGTGGGCTGATGAGGACTGAAGAGGTCTAAGGAACGGCAGGTGAGGGAAATGGAGGACCAGTGGGAGTCTGAGGGGAGTCTGGCTGGGGAATGAGGCTGAGCAGCTGGTGAGTTTGGCACATAGGAGGTGAGCAGAGGAGTAACTAGAGACTGAGGATCCAGGTGAGTAAAACTTTGCGAGGGTGCCAGCACGAGGAGGATTTAGGTAACCACAAGGGTATTGCAAGAAAATGACAAAGTTTGGGAAACCAGAACATACAGCAAAGGCATGATTACGTTCCAGCATCGATCTGGTGATTGGGGAAGCCTTAGCTCAGGAGTCAGTCAGGAAGGTGACAGTCAGCTGAGGTTGATCAGCCAATTATCCAACCAGAATGGGGCAGCAGATGTGACCGTGGTAGAAATATAAGCAGCTGAAAATTATGCATCCCAGATTTTTTACATATAAACTTTTATTTCACCAGATCAGCAAGTTGAGAACCAATTTTCATTTACAACGATGACCTGGTCAACATTTTAATATCACATTATTGCCTTTAGAAAACTGTTTTGTGGAGGCAGGTTGATCAATGTGTTGTGCTCTAAGCTTTTGTCCCGAACATAGTTTATTTTTTTCCTTTAAAACCATCACTTTTACACTAAGTATTTTTTAAAACCAGTACTTTTATACTTGAGTAAAAAAACTCAAGTTAATATTTCTAATTCTAAAGTATTTTAAAGACTAGTATTTATATTTCTACTTGAGTAATAAGTGTGAATACTTCTCTAAACATATCTCATAATTTCTTCAAAAGATTTTAATGAAATTTTGGGGAAATATTTACTGGGCGTGCATCTACAACTGACTAACATTTGGAGTCAGATCAGTTTAAGATGCTGCCACAGTCAACGAACAATAGAAAACACAAAAAATGGTTACAACTCAGCCTATTTTACAGATATTGTGCAAAGATTTGGTTTGGTTGTGGGTCCTTTAAAATCCCTAATCTAAGTGCTACACAATGCACCGAAAACATTTAAACACTGACAATCATAGTCAATCTTGTTTGTCTGTTAGCAAAGTATTTCATGAACCACCAGATGGACTTTGATTAATATACCAGAAGGCAATCTGTAATTGTGTATGTACAAATAATTAACATGTGGAGTTGATCCAATTTAAAATGGCCTCCACAGATAATCAACCTTAGCACAAGCATGGCTACAGCTCAGCCAGTTTAACAGACACGTGGCTTAAAGTGGATGTGGTAATTGCTGAGGGTCATCCACAACACATGCTCTGAGCATGACATCTACTGATAGCACAGGAGATTGTGAAGAATGTTATTGTCAAGGTTTGACCCAAAGACATTACAGTTTGACCAAAATGACTAAAACTCAGTTATTTCTTAATAAAAACTGATAGGAAGGCCTTGTCACAAGAAAGCGTTAAGACAGCGTTAAGACAACTTGTGAAAACTTTTGTCCAGCACTAAAGACGTCTACGCTGAAGATGGAATAAAAATAACTGAAAGCCTCTTTTGGACACACATGCTGTAATACTAAGTAGATTGAATATATTACCTTTATGAGTAAACTAGTTGCAACATGATCACAAGTCAACATAAGTTGTCTAATATGACAGGGCTTTTAGTTTTAAAGTCTGGCATGAAAGGCAGGGAAAGATGCATTCTTCAAGGATCGCTATATCAGTGATATTTATTCAAAATAAAATTGTCAGCTAATAGCTGTGATAGGTTAGAAGAAATTAAGGTTAAAGCCACAATTAAGAAAATATAGATAAAAGTAATATTCAGGAGAAAGACAGCTGGAGATAATTTAACTAGACAATTACCATTGAGATCACAGATCTCTTTTTCAAGGGAGGCCTGGATCTGAAGACCTAAACATGAATATTCTTGGAATGTAGTAGGAAACCAGCGTACTCATGAAATCACGAGGAAAACATGCACACTCCAAACAGAACCCCTCTGGTCCAACCTAGACTTTGAACCTGTCTTGCTATAAGGCACCAGCTCCACTGCAACCCTGGAAAGAGCAGGTAAAGAAGATGGATGCTGGGCAGAACCAGGTTTTTTCCCCCTCAAATGTCTTGCTTTATATTTTGCTTAAATTAAATTAACAAATACACAAACACACATTTCCTGAGTAGCCACAGACTTCAGCTCCGACATTGCATAAACCAGGTCAAACAAATGCAAATTCACGAGTCTCCCTTTTCACTGATTTCACTAATGCGCAGAAAGGTCTTTTTGTTAGCATTAAAGCTGTTTGTTTCATCAAACCCTGTTCATGCTGAGGCAATAAAAGGCACGTAGCTATCAGGTTTGGTGACGGGACAGACCCAGGGCGCAGGCAGGTTTCAAAAATGTAACAAAAGGTTTATTTAAATAACAAAAAGAGGGCTGATGGCAGCAAACTTACAACTTCAGAAGATCACAGGCACGAGGGAGACAAAGCTCAAGGAACAAAGTACAAAGAAGCAAAACAATGATCCGACAAAAGACAGAGACAGGACAGGGCTTAAATACACTGACACTTAATTCAATTCAATTCAATTCAAAAATACTTTATTGATCCCAGAGGGAAATTAGGTAAACAGAAAACACCTGAGGAGAAACACAAGGGTGACAATCAAGGTAATGTGGGGCAGCTGGGCAAAGACAGACTGGGAAACATAGAAAACACTAGGAAAACTAAGGAGAATAAATGCAGACTATGACAGTAGCTGTTATCAGACCTCGGTTTAATCACCAAATCTCCACTTAGGGCTCAAATTCCATTTGAGTTTTAAGATTATTCATTTGCAGCAAAGTTAATAGAGTTATATTTTATGGCTCTTCTCCTGAAATTGTTTCATTTATAGCTATGCGTAATAATCCACATTATTTAACCTGTATTGCATTATTATTTTCTTTTCTTTCAAGGCATGCATTTAACTCGTACCATTAAACAACCTGATGGACTACACACGTGTCTACAAATATAAATAAATATAAATATTCTAAGGATTGAAGCCTATCTGGTCTATTGTGACAGAAACATTTTTATGTGAATTTATTCAATCAGCCATATTTTCTCACTGTATAATGACAATGTTAATACCTACATGTACAGTTTGTGTCAGTTCAATAACTAAAGATGCTGCGACACACACTTACTCTCAAAGTTTTAAACACAACCAGCCAGTTACCATTTTTTGTCCGACCAATCAAAAATGATTATAAAAATAAAACTCTACCAAATAAATCATAATAAATATTCTGCAGTGCACATACATTTTGCTGCCCAAAGAGCACTTGTGCATTATGCACATTATTGAAGCGAGGTGGAACCCCCCCTCCCCCTCCCACCACCACCACCACCATGAGTCTATGTTTGTTTCTCTTTAAAGTCCCTGCTCCAGGCCCAGGGCTGTGCCCAGCATCGCCCTGACTTTGCACACCCCCAGGGAGGCCCGCTGGCTCAGCCAGGAGCAGGGTGCGCGGATGTCCTGCCAGTACTGCAGCATCTCCTTGGGTGAGATGTGGTGGACGGACACCATGGCCTGGTAGCAGCAGCGGCCGTATGGCACCGCTGGACCGCCAGAGAACAGAGGGCAATGCACGGGTGGCACTCCAGCCGCCCGGGCGCACAGACCCATAAAGACGTCCTCGGGGGGCAGGGGAGTGGACAGAGGTGATGCTGAGGCTGCGAGGGAGATTTTGAGCAGTGCGGAGCGGGACAGGACATAGGCGGTACCACTGCAATAGTCTGGAAAGACAGATGAAGGGTAGGCTCCTGAAGGGAGGTAGTGCTTGCTGTCCGGGTCACGGTCCGGAGCCACGTGGAGATGCACCCTGCCCAGGTACAGGTCCCCCTGTTCGTACTGGTTACGGCTTTTGTTCAGGAAGTGCAAAAGGGCACTGGGGTTGAACAGGACGTCGTCGTCCACTTTCGCCACAAAGTGAGCCTGAGGGCAGAACTTGCGAACCCAGCCCAGCATGGCCAGGGTCTTCAGAGTCAGGTTGGAGTAGGTGTCTACAAAGCGCCCCTGGACCAGATCTCCTCTCTCTCTGGCCTCTTCTATCAGCAGCTTCCCCAGGCCGGGGTCAGAGGTCACGCCCAGCATGAAGAGGGTCATGACCCGCAGGCCTCTCACCTCCACCTCTCCCCCCCAGGTGTCCCGGACGGCCTGGCGGGCGCGTTGATTGGCAGGAGCCGAGGTAACCATGGTGATGAGGTAAGGCTTGACCCGCTGGCACACGAGCGGGCTGGGCATCAGGAGGAACTCCTCGGGTCGGGTGGCGGGGGGCACGCTCTGCGGGGGGGCGACGAGGTCGGCGGGCTCCATCATGCCCATGGAGGTGACCCACAGCTCGATGAAGTCCATGAAGAGCAGCGCCAGCAGGGCTGCGCACGCCGTGACGGCGCACAGAAGCGGGAGGTAGTGCCCGGGTCTGCGCTTCCCACAGCGGGGCTTGCACAGCCCCCTCCCGACCATCATCTCCTTCTCTCTCCTCTATCCCCAGCGGCGACGAATCCTCCTCTGCTCCTTGCGTCTACTTCACGAACATCCCGAGCCTCGCGCTCGGATCCAGTCCTGGTTCCTCTGAGAGGGAGCGGCGCGTCATGTACGCAGCGCGGCTGCAGCAGCCTTGTTCCGCTGCTGCAGCCCACTCACCGAGGAGAAGATGTGCAGAATATGCAGCTGCGCAAAGGGATCAGTCGATGAGGCTGCAGCCCGATGAAGCAAGTTTATTAGCTGCCCCAATAGCCTGTGAACCAGATTATGCTGATGCGCTGCTCCGTGTTTGGCTTTTTAAACAACCTATTTCTCGGATGATAAGCTATTTAAAGGCCAGATCACAGTAGACTTAATAGGTGGTGAAGCTTACTAAAATATATTTTTTAAAAAGATTACAGCAGGATTATAAGATATTATGGCTAATTATGGCGAAGCTCCTCCAGGATTGAAAAAAATAAATAAATAAACAAACAACATAAAAAAAAGATGCCCTGAAGTCTCTACGTAGAAATCCGTAACAAAATAACAAGTCTGCAGGTGACGGATGAAAACATAACAGCCGTATAAAATGTAAAATAAACAGTAAAAGGTTAATATTTGTAATATAATTTGCTGGTTTGGTTGTCTGCGGCAGTCCTTTTGTTCTTCTGCAGTGCATCTATCACACCTGCTGGTTTTTGGCGACACCTGGTGGGCACTGTGCGGTGATGTTCGTTCCTGTGCAAATCAATGTGAAAAGTTACTCTTTATTTTACAAACACAAATACACACAAATAATATACAAACACTGTATATAAAATACAAAATTAATGCCTCTCCTATTTTGCAGTCATTGTTAATTTCATGGTCATTGTTGGCCATAATACTACACGTACATTACAACACAAGCTACATTTGTATTGAATTTTTTTCTCAGGTCTTTTATATTTTACTTTTAAAGACAAATTTTCTTGCAACCTTTTAAAGAGGTCTTGATCATTTTTTTGTGTGAAGAATGACAGGAAAAATGGATATTATCCTCAATGTCACAAAAAAGGATCAGAGGTAACCAGGGTGAACAGACTGGGCCCAGGTGTAACTCATGACCACACTAATGACCTTGTTTACCGACAAAAAGGGAAAAAATTGAACAAAAAGGAAAAAAAAAACTTTTTAAACATCTAAAGTCAAACATCGAGATAAAGGAATTATGGGGGAAGAAAACACTTAGGACATTTGTTTAATGTGACAATATATCAGGTGAGTTTCAAAGCAATCTGACCGGGTCATTCTGAGAAATGTGCCTCTTTTATTCCAATAAAACTGCATAACTTCTTTATCTCTCAACTAATTATAACAAAATTTGTATAATTTATTTTGTGATTTTAGCTGCTCTCAGTATGATGGGTTAAAAAACAAATCTGATTTGTTTTTTGGCACATTGATCACTGGTAGGGCTGCACAATATATCTGCTGTCATATCTACAAAATCTTGCAGTAACTTGTTTGTTTCAGATGATGAAACTCAGACGGAATGTAAATATTGTGATGACAGAAAAAAGTTGTCACAACTTGTATTAAATTGAACAAGCTGAGTGGCAATAACAGTAAATCTCTGAAGTTTTTGTGTATTTTTGCTACTTTGTTCAAATAATTCTGCTTAGAATGCAGAACAATGGATTTTATGTTTGGAGACAACAACTGTGGCTTTCTTTATTTAAATGAGCTTTAAGTGGCATTTTTCTTCGAGCTAACCCTACAGCTAAACACAAAAATGGCACATGTTTTGAGTGACAGACATGATCTCTCTTGTCTTTGAAACCTTTTCCAAATGCAAACCTGTCATCAGGGGAATAAATATTAATGAATAAACCAAACAAATGTTGGATATTTAAAATTATTTCCACTTATTTCATAGGAAAACAAATATTTGAAGAGTCTGTGGTCTTTTTTCCTACGCTTTTGTGTCAAGCACTTAAAGACAAAGTGCCAGTGCCAGTTCCAGCCAAAGAATTGTAAACATTCAGCTGAAAACTACATAAAAAGTAGTTTTTTAAGAGAGTGGGTTCATATCTTCTGGAACTGCAGGTTGATTTAAATCACAACCATCAAGTGTTTATCTTCTCCTAACAAGCAGCCTGCTGAGAGCATGTGGATACTAAACAGGACCGCAGCCTTTAATGACTGAGCTGTAATGCGATTAAACTAGAATATATTTGACTGCATGTTTTTGAAACTGACCTTTTTCTTTCCTCTTGTGCGTTGCTCTGATGGGGATTTGAGTTGGGCATTATAAATTGAATTGAGTCGAAGCCTCGGCAGTCAGGAAATATATGATTGCAGCAGAGCAACAATAAAGCCAAGAAGAGGAAGTAAAGGAACAAAAGCAAAACTAAACTAGAAGCACATTGGAGAGTGCACACCACCGCCAAGCAGAGCCTACCGAGTTGTGTGAACGAGAGTTTGCAGCTGCTGAGCTGTGTCTGATGGAGCAAGGCTTTGCTGGACTGGTTCTGGCAGATGTTACCAGATCACCATCAATATTTAACAAGATGTTCTTCATGGCTACCCCAACATGTCATGTCATGAAAATTTTTGTCTACACATTTTTTTAGTAAGCTTGTGCACATGAACAAATGAACAAACCAATAATCTTTGGCCACCCCAACATTTTGACAAAGCTCTTTCTATGTGCAGAAGGTGCATTTCGCACTGCTCAAATAGCAGAGGTGTCTAAAGGATTCACCTTCCTTACTCAAATAGAAGTATATTAGGTTTAGGAAAAATGTTGGATGTATTAGACTACCCCGTTTCAGCCTTATAAACTTGGCACAAAAATAAGAAGTTTGATTATTTGTAACAATGCTTCTTGGCAATAAATCTTATAGAAAGAAAATAAAGGAATATAAAGTTGAAGCAACACCTGTCATTTTCTCTGCTTTTTATGTGTCATATCCAAACCATCACCTCTACTGAACAAAGCCTGCTGACTTCATGATTATGTTTTCCATTGAGCTATAGTAGGTTGCTGGTTTGATCACCCACTCTCATCATTCTCGGCCATTGTATATGTAGGGGTCACCTCGAGTGAAATAATCAAGGAAACTGTCTTGGACCTCAGGGACAAATACTCTGTTCCACTTAGAACTGAATTTCGGCCACCTCAGGTCACCTTAACTTCTCAAAGAGACATTCTCTTTTTCTTAATCAGATAATAGATAAAAGAATCTTCTTCTTATTTGATTTATTGTTCTCTTATCCATCCATCCATCCATCCATCCATTTTCTTCCACCTATCCGGAGTTGGGTCGCGGGGGCAGCAGCTTCAGAAGGGAGGCCCAGACCTCCCTCTCCCCAGCCACTTCTTCCAGCTCCTCCGGGGGAACTCCAAGGCGTTCCCAGGCCAGCCGAGAGACATAGTSCCTCCAGCGTGTCCTGGGTCTTCCTCGGGGCCTCCTCCCGGTGGGACGTGCCCGGAATACCTCACCAGGGAGGCGTCCAGGAGGCATCCTTACCAGATGCCAGAGCCACCTCAACTGGCTCCTCTCGACGTGGAGGAGCAGCGGCTCTACTCTGAGTCCCTCCCATATGACCGAGCTTCTCACCCCATCTCTAAAGGAGAGTCCAGCCACCCTGCGGAGGAAACCCATTTCAGCCGCTTGTATCCGGGACCTCGTTCTTTCGGTCATGACCCAAAGCTCATGACCATATGAGGGTAGGGACGTAGATCGACCGGTAAATCGAGAGCTTCACTTTCTGACTCAGCTCTCTCTTCACCACGACGGACCGGTACAGCGCCCGCTTTACAGCAGACGCTGCGCCAATCCGCCTGTCGACCTCCCGCTCCGTTCTTCCCCCATTTGTGAACAAGATCCCCAGATACTTAAACTCCTCCACTTGAGGCAGGGCGACCCCCCTGACCCGGAGAAGGCACTTTTACCCTTTTCCGGCTATTGTTCTCTTAACTGAAGGTTATTATGTATTTTGATAATCAGAGAATGTTTATCAAAGTTACAGGAGAAAAGAGGACAGATCTATTTTCTCCCTCAGTATGATTTCAGCTATGTATGGTCTTTCTGTGCAAAAATATTATTTAACTAAACTAATCTTTGTGGTTTAAATTTGATTAAACATCAATATTTTACTTATATGAATCATATTTGCAAATGTTTTGAATTTAAAGTAATTCATTCTTTCAGTTATGTTTTTAAAGGAAGTTCTCATCAGATGATAATTAAATTGGTCATGATATGTTTGGTTTCTGAACTACACAGAAGCAATAATCTTTGTTAAGCTTCAGGAGGCAATGGCAAGTCTCTGAACTCTTTCCTTGATATCTCCTTTTTTCTAATCTAACCTTTTGAAGGCGGAACTAGGAAACTAAGCTCCTTTAGTAACTAACAGTTTCCGCCCGGGTGGGATGAGAAAGGCATTTCACCTGCATTGCTGGCTGGTGGTGGTCAGATTGAATGGCAGCCCCGCATCTGTCAGTCTGCCCCAGGGCAGCTGTGGCTACAATGTAGCTTACCACCATCAGTGTGTGAATGACCGATTGTAGTGTAAAGCCCTTTGGAGTCCTTGGACTTGATAAAGTCAAAATCAGGTCATTTAATATTTATACTATTCAGCTGCAAGTGGGACATAAATCAAAAATTCCCCGGGGTTTGAATGTTACATGTCATAATTAGTAAAACTTTTCCATAAACCACATCCTCATTAAGAACAGGCCTTTTGTCTTTCCCAGTTTTAGGCTCAGAAAATAAAAGCTGCTTTTGTTTGGGAAATGTTGGAGTTACTTATAGGGATGCTCACAGATTTAATGAAAAGAGTCAAGCAGCTATGTATACTTTACTCCTCCTGTTCTTGTGATTCTCCTGTGGAAAAAGAGGCTGGATTTGACTTGTTTTGTCTTTTCACAGAGTTCTTCAATCACAACGATACAAACATAATGTTAAACTCCTATTTCTGTTGACAACTTGAAAAAAAGTTGTCACACATTTTGTTTTGAAATTGTCAAGTTGTTCTTTTTTGCTTTGAAAGAAACGTCACATCATTCGTGAGCTTAGCTAATGCAGCCTTTTGCTGTTGTCTTCCACCTTTACTGCAAATTTACTGCTTTTTACTCGGTGTGCATGTTTACCCATCCCATGACTTCCTGTTGACAGTTAACCAAACCAAAAGCTCAATATGACACACAAGGAAATGAAATAGCTCTAATATGTACTGCATACTTATGCCTACATTAAAATATAGTACATTACACCATCCACTCCACAGTGTGGGCATCACTTGCAATAGGAGTGTGTGTAACATGTGCTTTAAAAGCAGGTGGGACAAAAGCTCGTCTGTATATTGTACTGTATTTAAGCAGCTGATATCACTCAGGAAGCTGTGTGTGTAGAAGAGGTATAAAGGATTAGAAACAATGCTCCATCCTTTTTGAAAGATTTATTCATATTATCATATATATATTATTCATATTAAGTGTTTCAGATTATTTAAAAAACAACTTGATATAATGGGTGCTTTAGATTAATGTATATTATTAGAACAACAAAATTATATTAGGTAAGTTAAAAATGGGCCAAATGGAAACACTGAAGGTGCACAAAAAGAAAATAAAATCAGTAATCCATCACATTTCTGTCAAAACAACATCATTGTCTTCTATCAAGCCTAAATTTAAATATATTTTTTAAAGTTTTTTTTTTACAAATAACTTCAATGAAGTCTGGAGACAGACATAATGACGTCACTCCTGTCTGGCTCGCGCCAACGGCGAGGAGGGGTGTTGAGCACGCGGACGCGAGTGGGAGGAAGAAAAGAAAAAAAAAAAACTACATCAATGCGCTGGCGGTTTGGGGTCACGAACTATGACCTTTAACAGAAGAAAACCACAACAATAATAATTTTAAAACAGCAGAGCGCCCTAATCGTTTCCGTGAGGTAAGTGTCGCTTCTGGATTGAAAGCACCCAAAGCTTTGTGGGGTTGTGGGCTGAAAATAGCTAATCTCCCGGTTAGCTTGTCTGCTAGCCGATGCGGAGCTCCCTTCCTCCCGTCCGTCTCCGGCTGCTCAGCATCCGGGTAGGAACCGAGCAAAGCTGGCGTAACTCAGGCTTCCAGTACAGACATCTTTAGCTGAGTGGTACACACCTCACAGCACTGCCAGTTTGAAATGTACTAATTTATGTAAGAAAGGATGACAAACACGAAGGTTCAGTTCTTGCTCAAGTCGCGTTTCAGGTGCGTTAGCTTTCGATAGCTAACCCCTTGGTTGAACCCAACCCTTTTACCTTTGCCATCCCGCGGACATGTGTACAGATGGAAAAATGAATTTGTCAGTGTTTTATTTTARCACAGTTGTGTTTTATACATTTACCATCATAATCTCAGCTGTCATCCACTCCGCTGTCCTGAAAGAAAACTGCTCTGATATATTTGTTTGTATCATATCTGCAGTATTATTGGCTTGCTGCCATTTCTCCATTTTGTTCTGTACTGTAATATGTTTGGAGCAAAGTCAAGGACAGAAATGTGGCTTGGCCAATCAGTAAACAAGATGAATCTGCTCGCTCCTCCCCTTTTGAAAGTGGGCCGGTGTTATGGTGAAAAAAGTACCCCCAGCGGATGCGCACCCTGTCACTTTTCTGAGAAACGTGTTTCAAGTCAGTTGTTTGTTTATATA